CCAGTAGTAGGTATACAAATTGTTGTTGCAAAAGGAGAGTTTTGTTTTATGTGATATCTTGGTTTCAGTAATACTAGTGTGATGGAGAAACGGAACATATGGTACACTTTGTATGGGGAATAAAGTTGGAAGGACTTGAAGTATATTAAACAATGTCATAGAACAATAGAACAAAAAAAAAAAAAAAAAAAACTTCTCTTCGAATGCTTGGGGTAAGAAAGATTAGATCAATCGAACTATCATGTGGTCCACGTAATCTACATGATGTTCGATCAGATGCGAATGGTAAAGGAAACTCTGGAATTGATAAATCGATGATGCAAATATTTATTGCAAAGTCAGTCATAGCATAGTGGCGTTGTATAATAAATATCATAATAGGATAGAAGTAAAATAGCATAATTATTAATCAATTAAAAGTCAAAATATATATGAGCGAAATATGATATAATTGAATAAGAAGTATATAATCAAAAGGAAAAATAAAGAATTAATTAGTGCTTTTCTCCATAAAATAAGTTCTTATCCACAGTAATTATATATATACCAAAATTGTGCCCTTGTGTAGCTTATAAGCTTGTAGCATTTGCTTTACCTTTGAGGTAGATGTTAGTAGCAACGACTACTATTAACCACCTTGTTAGCAGGACCTGGGTAAACTAAAAGTATCTCTCGCAATATAAGAATAAATAAAACACCAAACATCAACATAAGGAATTTATAAGACATGCTACTAATTAACAAAAACACAAGAAACATACCTAAGCACGAAACCATTATTGAAACATAAGCAACGTACATAGACAATATCATTAATCAAATATAAGGAAAACATAAACACCTTGTCAGTATCATAATCCAAGAAATATACTTAAATACAAACTATTAATACAATATAAAGAACGTACATAAGCTGTCAACATGACATCAAAAGATTTGACAAAACCATTCTATTATGGAAATAATAATGAATCTATTGAAAGTTTCATGGCCGATTACGAAGGATATGCTGCAATGAAAGATTGGGACGATGCGAAGAAAAGATTAGTAATTGGACTCCATGTTGCAGAACCACTTCGCGACTGGGTCAGAAATATTGTTGAAGCCAAGAACACATGGGAAGGAGTAAATACTAGCATCCTAACTATGGCAAAGGCAAAATATGATACTGAAGAGAAGATTGAACGCTTGATGAATTTAAAGCAGAATGAAAATGAAAGTGTAGTGTCATACACCAACTGTTTCGAAGCCTGTGCAGATAAAGTGAAAGATGATATTAGTAATCGTGAAAAGAAACGATGGTATATAAGAGGCCTATCAGTGAAATATAGAGATAAGATAAAAGAAAAATATCCCGAAACTTATGAAGAAACAAAAGAATGGGCGATAAAGATTGAAAAGTTTGAAAAGAGTGATGAGTTCGATTTAAAGAAGGCCTCCATAATCGTAGAAGTGTCAGGCTTTTAACCCGATACAGATGTCGACGAATTGACAAACGCCTTCTCAGAATTAAAGATTCGTCAGGTCAGTCAAAGCGATCAAGAAGCAAAAGACACGAGTAGAATTGATAAGTTGGAATTTAGTATAAGTAAACTTACTAAAGTCGTCAAGAATATGTCAAACAATAAGAATCAATATACACGAAATCAACCAAGAGGCTCGTCACAAACTAATTGGCACCAAAGGCAAGGTCCTGAAAGAGTGTTGGCAGGTTTTCAATCAAACTAATCCGAGATTCAAAAATATTATAGTTGTAACCAAGAAGGCCACATATCTCGGAACTGTCCAACAAAAGCAATATCTAAAAAATCGGATGACTTAAATAAAAGAGAAAAAGGGATTGATAAGGAAAATATGAATATTAGTGGTGCTGATGTCCGATATTTTGAAGCATCCGAAACTTCTCATAATGATGGAACAGAATTTCTTAAAATCGAAATGGCAAAAGGAGAATCGATTTTTGATGTAAGAAATTGGAATTTGCGAAAGCGAAAAATTCCCGAGACCGAAGTTAGGCACCAATCACGTGATAAAAGAAATAAAATTAGCGAAAGTTCAAATAACCAAACATTACAATCAAGAGGTTCGATAATGTATATACCTTTATCTGAGCTATCACAAGAACTTGATATACTGAAGAAAGTTGTCGAGCTTGAAGTCACAATTACGCTAGGCCAACTTTTTAAATAGTCACCGAAAGCTCACATGAAAATATTGAAAGCCTTGACCAAAAAGAAGAAAGAAAATGATGTGGTATTGTTGGATACTAATATTAGTATCATAAGGACAATTCAAACCAACTTCAACAGACAAGTTGGTGATGTTCCAATAGGAACAATCAAGGTGAATGAAGAAGTGCTTGACATGCCCATTAACCCTGGTTCTCGCCTAAACCTCATGCATATCAACTATGCAAACAAATGAGAGCTTGTTTGGAAATCTGCCAAAGGAAAAGGAAGAATGGTGGATGACAGAATTAGTATGTTTGCCGGGTATATACCAAACGTAAAGGTAGATATTGATAGAGTAACAGTATATCAAAACTTCCATGTAATGGAGACCACAAGTTTCGACATTTTGCTTGGAATGCCATGGATCGCGGCTGCTAAATGTAACTTGAAATGGAAGAACAACCAATTCTGGTGTTCAGTTGCGTCCGAATTGAAGAAAGTGTCTTTCGTAGCCTCTGTTGTTCCTGAAAGTTGGATGAGTAATGTGTATGATATCGATGATTATGGAAGATATGGATGATGTTGAACATGAGATGATGTTGATAAGAAGAATGCAGGTAGACAACGGTGAAAGTGATGAATTAAAAAGTCTATGTAATAGATTAGTTAACGGCACAAAGAACACGAGTTCTGTGAAGATTAAAGAAATTAAACCAATAGCTGAAGAAGAATTACTAAAAAGCTATTGTGGGAATGTAGTATATTGGAATAACTCACATGAATGTGAAGACGAAATGATCAAGACACAAATGTCTGAAGTAATCATGCGATTAACAAAAGATAGAATGAATACTTTAAACATTAATAATAAAATTTCTAATCAAGACCAGATGTATTTAGAAACTGTTTGTTGGAAAAGGTTCTGGAAGTATTTGCGTTCGACTTATCTGAGATGGGAAGAACAAACTTAATTAAATACGAAATCAGAACCGGAGAAAAAGAAGTACCGGCCACCAGAGTGCATCCCGTCAGAATCAATAATCCTGAATGAGCTCAATTATTTAAAGAACAGTTACGTGAAATGTTGGAAAATGGGTTACTTGAAAAAGGAATAGGGCAGTATGCCTATCACTGTTTCCCTGTAAATAAAAAAGAAGG